CCTTACCCCCGCACTCCCCGTGTGCAGGTGAAATTCGCCAGTGAGAGAATTGGGATTTTTCACAAAATAGACTGTGATCACTACATAATTCGATATGAATATTTGAGGTACTTTTCCCATGAAAAAATCCATACTTTAAACACTCCCCCCCCAACACACACACAAATTGTTTTTATGAGAACCAATTAATAAATGCTAATTCATCCAGGCATATCTCCACTAAATTACTGTTTCATTTAATTGTGGGGGAATTTTCCATTACTAAACTCTCCCTTGCTGGTTTTTTTTTCGCATTATTTATATATTTTTTTCAGTTTCACTAATTGTGGGGTTGGTATGCGATATTATCTGCTGTTTGTACGTCTTAAATTTCTTTTTCATTTAAAATGTTTCCTCATTCTTGCAGCTCCACGTAATCTGGGAGAAACATCATTAAAAGCAGACAAGATTTAATACATAAATGATGGAAACAGGCACTGGCTGAAGAAACGGGCACAGGAGAGCGTCTTGTCTGATGGTGCCCCTCTGATGTCAGGCGTGCATGGGTGTGCGGCAGCGTGTGTCTCCACTTTGGGTTAATGTGGAAATGTTTTCCTATGTCAGTGAGTCACAAGTCAATCCACGAAAAGACTTGTGGGTGCACAACTAGGAATGAAGATCACAGGGGCTTGAACAATAAAAATAAACAACACTTGAATCTCTTTTTAAGCCGCCAGCGGACAATGTGTATTTTCTTGCTTCCTTTTCACGGACACCAGATCCAAACTTTGACATCTAGACACCCAAAATCCAGACCAGACCAGCTGGTCCCCAAAGATTCTGCCTTTTTTATGCATAGAAAATTGGGGGGTTCCAGTGATGGTTAGGGGTGGCTTAGGGACTGTGGTTGAGATCGCATTCAAAAGGACATGTTTTGAGGTAGAATTTTGATTTCCTTATAATGAATGGTAAGGTTGCCATGCACCTGGCTACCGTCATTTCTGAAATAAGTTCTTTCACTTTTCTCTCTCCAGCCACCGTCTCCCCCTCTCTCCTCCCCTCTCCCACTGCCTCCTTTCAGTGTCTTTCTTTTTCTCTTCAGTCTTCCCCTTCTTTCTCTTTCACGGTAACACATTCTGGAGGATGTGAATGATTAAACTGTTTACTCCGAGGTTTGAGGTTTAGGTATGAAAAGGCATGTCACTGTAAGTAAAGTTTCACCTTTATACCCAACTCTATCAATAATTACAGAACAAGGATGATTGTTAGTAAATCTTTCTTACAGTTAGCTCTTACAAAAAGTGATGGCATTTATTCTGAGTGTACTGAGTTCTACTGATCTTACAATTCACAAAAATTAATTACAAAGCTGAGTAACCTCCAAAATGAAGTTAGCATATAAAGGGATCATGAGTATATCCCTGGGAAAATGCATACCCATAAAACATGTGCCACATTAAAACTCAAGATTTGAGGTCATAAATAGAAAGTTTTGACATGTTATTATAATAGTAGATGCTTTCCTTTGAACCAAAATATCTCTTAATAATTAAAATTCCGAGATTGATTTTTGTGTTGTTTCTCTTCACTTCCTTTGTCCTCTTCAGCAAAATTAGGTAGAGTCCTTTCGGGTATAGACTGATTAAATTAATTAACTTTCCTTCCACCCCCAAAATGTCCCAAATAAATGCTTCCAATAAACATCAAAAAGTGTCAATTAGAAATAATTACTTCTTATCAATCAGTAGGGCAATTAAAGTGACAAAGCTTGAAAAGATACTTATCTTAAAACTAATTCACAAGGTAGCTAAATTATCTCCTAATTAACTTGTATTGAGGAGGGTGGGAGGACGGACCATCTTGAAACAAAGATGAATGGAGGAACCCCAATACCTCTTTATGGTCCTCAAGCGCCTCAAGACTGTTTTTCATCCTGAGACCTTATTTTCAACCCAGGCAAGAAACCTGGGCAGAAAATAGATCTTTGGCTCCCTTTGCCCCTTTTTAAAACCAAGAGGAGGGAACAGGGGTTTTACATCTGTGATTTAAGGAAGTTAGAGATAGGCTCCTCCTTGATCTAAAGGCTCCTTTGACTTCTTGAATAACCTATTTTCAGGAGCTGAGGGAGAGGGCTTCTTGGAAGTTATTGCACATAACTTTTAATGACAACCTGCTTGCTTTTTACTAAACTCTCTTCTTCATGGATACAGTATTGTTGACATTTTAATATTTAGGTGGCTTTTCTCGTGCATCTTTGACTCTTTAAAAAAACGTTCTTGCTTTAGAGGATCTTTGTTCCCTGATGCTACAAAATTCCCAGTAGATTTTACAGACCATTCTATTGACCACCGGCAGGTCAGAATCATTCACTCTTTACTCTCCACATCCCTTCAGGAAAAAAAATATATATATATTATATATATTATATATATTATATATATATAATATATATAATATATATATTTTGCTTTAAAGAGCTTTCTGCGAAACAAGATCAGCAGAGAGCGAGCCGCAGAGGGTGAGCCACAGCGGCCTGGGAGGCAGAGGGCGCGCAAAACTTTTCTCGGGCGTCTCGGATTTTTGGAAACGGTGCGCATGGCCTCGCTCCCGCGAAAAAAAGCCCGCGACCGCCTTCGCCCCGGATGCTACTCCAGGGGAAGCTTCAAGGGGCGCTCTCCAGGCAAGGCCTAGGCAAAGCCGAACTCAGAAATGGAAGTGCCTGGGGAAAAGAGGGAAGTCTCTAAGACCTACAAGAGAAATGGGCTTATAAAAACAGGAGGGCTCAGCTTATGAATTTAGCTCTAAATATAGGCAATGGTGTCAACTGATTAGAAAGACGGAGGGTCTCTCCCTCAGGTTTGCCTAGAGAGGATTTAGAAAAGAAACAGGGGACAGTCTTGAACATCTTGAGCTATGTTTTAGGCAATTTTCTACTGTTTCATTAGCATTAAATTAAAGGAGAAAGTCTCATCCTCCCTCTGCCTCAGATTTTTTTTTTTTTTTAATTTGTTTTGGGGAGAGGATAGAAGAAGCCCCTCTGGCTCCTCTAGACAGAAAATTACCTCTGTCCCAGGCCCTGCCAGGGGTGGACGGCTCCCTCCCCAAACCCAAGGGCGAATTGCCTCAGAGCTAATGGAAAAACTGTGTCTCCTCATCTGTGTCTGTTGCTGATTAAAAATAAAGTAAAAATAATTGTGTCCTTTCTTCTTTCCTTCTTTATTTCCTTTTATTCTAACGAGTGCTTCTATAATGAAAATACGTAGCGAAAACAAAATCAAGCCAACCCAAGGGACCGCGACATCGTCTTATTTCTCGAGCAGCGACATAGAGGAAAGGGTCTGGTCCAGCAGGGTAAATCCGAGGTCCGGGAGCACCCACTCCTATCACCGCCAGAAAGGTCAGGGGAAGGTCGGGGGTTGGTTGGGGCTTGGGGGTGAGAAAGGAACCCAGAGCCCAGCAGAAGCGGCGGGACCCAGCCTGGCGTGGGATCTGGCACCTGGCGCCGCGCGCTCGGCCTCGGAGACCGTCCTGATGATGCCGAGGCGAGTGGATTGACGTCTCTCTTTAGACCCCCGTTTGGCTAAAGACTGAGGGACTAAAACCTGGTCCTGGCCTCAAAATGTGATCAAGGAGCTTGAGTGGCGCCCGGGCGCGGGTGGGGGCGGAGTAAGGGGTGCCAGGCGCTCCCCTCGGTCCCCTGGCTCGTCGACCCCGCCGCTCCCGGGGAAGGGCTGTGAGGTCTCCATCCCGCGCCCCTGGAGGCCCGGCGCCCGCAGAGGGCGGCCAGGACGGCGCTGGCCCCAGTCTCCTAGGGGCACCGGGGTGGGGAGGGAGCGTGCTGCTGACTCCGTCTCCGGTGGTAGAGCGAACCCGAAGGAGAAATCTACCGGCGCCCCGGGGGGGCGCCTGCGCCTCTGCCCGTGGAGCCTCGGCCCCCAGACCCGAAGCAGCGCGGGCGCAGCTCGGACCCGCGGCGCTCTGGGCTAAATTGAGATCTCAGCCGCGCGCCGCGCCCGATCCGACCCTGCTTATTATAACAAATGTCCCGTTTGCCGAGCGGGACTTCATATTCGCCGGGAATTCATCTGAAATATTGATTTCCTCTCACTCCACCGGCCCAAATCGATAGCGCTGCGCCCTGGCCCCATAAATCGCCTTCCCCGCGGTCGGCCCAGCTCCATCCATCACCGCGGGCCAGGCCGCGCCTCTGCCCGCTGTCCACACTTGCTGAGCGCCCGGCCGGCCGTGCCCACCGCGCCGCCCGGCCCCGACCCTGCGGCTGTTTCCTGGCACAGACCACCCCGGCCTGGGCCAGGAGGTGGGAGAGAGCGGGAGTCGCGGCCAGGGACACCCTGAGCGCTTTTGAAGGGCCTGGGCCCGGGCGCCGGTGGGGAGGGGAGTTCGGCCCGTGGGGGGCTTAGTCCTCGCAGGCCGGACGCCCCGAGCACGGGTCCCCGTCTGCCCGGTGCTGGTTAAGGAGGAGTCCGAGAGTCCCCCAGTACGCTCTCGGCTCCCAGGCCCCGGACCGCGGGCTCCTTTCCGTTTGTCTGGAGAGGTGCGCTGGGCTCACGGTCCCGCCCGGGAGCCACGGGCAAGAGCTGGGCGCACCCGGGGACGAGGGCTTAGAGGTCGGGGGCAGGGGAGCTGCAAGTCCTGCACGGCCGCGGCGCAGGGCCTGAGAGCGTGCAGGATGCCCACTCTCAGGGGCCAGGCAAGACCCGGCTGGGGCGCGAAGGACACCCCTCTGACCCCACGGAGAGGTCCTCGCCGCTCCGGGTGGTCCGCAGAAACGCAGGCCTGCGGAGGGCAGCTCCGCAGGGCCGGGACGAATCTCAGGGCCCGAGAGCGGCGAGACGGCAGCCGCGGAGAGCCAGGCCGGAGGCGACCCCAGCTGCGCCCCCCCCACGCACGGGGGTCCAGCGAGCCGCGACCCTACGCTCCCCAGCCCCACCGACCCGAGCGTACGCACGGACGCACGGCGACGCGAAGGCTCGGGGGTCCCGGCCACTCCGCGTCCTTACCCGATCTGATGGAGTTGTGAGGCATCGCCGCGGAGTCACTCGCAGCCCGCCGAGGGCTCAGGGCTTCCTCACGCAGGTCCCCGCTGCGCCCACCGCCACGCCGCTGCCCTGCACAGACCCAGGGGCAGGGGCATGAGACTCCCTGCCCGCTGCCTTAGACCTCCTCCCCAGGCCCTACCCCTGAGGCTCTCATCGCTTGGCAGGAGTCTCAGGATTTTTAGGTGAAGTGTGGCCAACCTCAACCCAGCCTAACACATGCGCCCGGCCGGAGGATCCGGCGTTGGCATCCTCCGAGCAGCCCCAAACTCCAGCCCGGTGCCCTCTACCTCTGCCAGCCCAGCCTTAGCCAGTTTAACTTGAGAGAAAAAAGGCTACCGGGCTTCCTGGGACCTTCTCCCTTCTCGAAACACCCCTTTCTCCCAGTCAACCCCTGGGAGGCATACCTGGCCGGCCGGCAGGCCACAGGCCTTCACTGCCCGGGTCCGCCCACGAGGGTGCCCTGGGCCCCGCGTCTCTCCTCCTTCCGAAGTTTGTTCCCATCCACCCGGCATCGCCGACCGGTTTTATCCCGCCAGGGCCCGGAGAGATGGGTCTGGAGAGGCTCGCAGGCCGCGGATTGGCTGGCTGGGTGCAGGGGGGTGCAGGAAGGGGAGGATTTTGCAAGGGGGACATGGCTGAGTGGACTCAGGAGTTAGAAACATTCGCTGGAGCTTCTGTTTCCAGTGGAGAGAGGAGAGAGAGGCAGCTGGGCCCTAACTCAGCAGGCCTGGAAAGATTTGAGGAGTGGGCGATGGAGGCCTCAGGGCCTGAGGATGAGGGTCTCTGGGTCCCCCTGGGGTCAGTGACACCAGAAGTGAGAGGCACGCCACCTCTGTGCACCCTGCGTCCCCTCGTCTCACCCCTAGTCTGCTCAGGGGATCACCTTTTCTTTTGTGGGAGGGAACTTTGTTTTATATGCCTGGTTCTTGAGGTAGATGCCTATTCTCAGGGCGGGAGGCAAGATGGTCTAACCTTCTCACCACTGGTGTGGACCTCTTCCAGGGCAAAATCCTGAACAGCCCCTGAACCCATTCCTTCCTCACCAGCCAGGATCCACGCCTCACATTGTTAAGTTAATGAAAATGGTCACCTAACACATTCCACGGGAACACCTTTCTCCTTCTAAACACACAGCCGCCAGCCTCCTTCCTTGCTTCCTGAGGATTTTGAACTTGAGAGAAGAGTCCAGAGGACGGGCCATGAGGGCCTAGATTTCAACTCAACGTGGAAGGGTGTTAGAAAGGGACAGGATGAGCTGAACCCTGCCTTGTCTGCAGGAATCAGCAGCCTTGGGGCCGTGTGGGCCTGGGTGTGGATAAGAAGGGCTCCCTTGGGGTGGGAATGAGAAGCCCTTAGAGGGGGTGAAAGCTGCCCCCCTCCTTCCTCACAGGTCTTCTCTTCTGTTGGGGGAAGCGGGTACAGGGAAGATTGTGTGGGCGAACAAATGTCCTGCAGTGCCAGCAGGCCGGCGGGGCAAGGCCTGGGTGTTCCCCAGTCTCAGGCTGTGCTCTGGACTCAGGGTTATATCTGAGAGAACTGTGATGCTCCTGGCCTGGCGGGGGTGGGGGGGTGGGGGGGAGGACAGCTCTGGGGTACAGAGACTTAGAGCTGCTGGCGTGAGAGGGAAGGGATGGGGCCGAGGCAACTGGGGTGACTCAGAGGGATGTGTGCGCGGGTGTGTGAATACACACAATTTTTCTTAATTAAAAAAAAATCTCTCTCTTTCAGGTTAATCCACTTCCTCCTCCCACCCAGCCTTGCTTGTTTCTCGATTTAGCAGAAATTAATGATTCTGTGAAAAGCAAAAGACTATGTATGTTTCAAAATGGATCCTTCACCCCATACGTGGCTCTAAACAAAAAACAATTCACGCTTTATTGTTTTAAGTGCGTCTCAAAACTTGTTATTTAAAATCGCTCTGTGGTTTCAAAATGTCCAGATATTCCACTTCTCTGGTCAGACCTCCTCCTGGCCGCACCCCAGAGAGAGAGGGAAGAAAGGTGCTGGGATGAAAGTGGGCCTTGGTGTAGGTCCCACGGACCCCACAGACCGGTTTGCTGCTCCGGTGCCTGCCCTGTTGTCTGTAGGGGAGCGGTGGAGTGCGGAGGCCACGCAGAGACTGTCCACCCAGGCTCCCCTCCTACGGCGGAGGCAATGCTCCAGGGTGAGCCCGACAAGCCCTCATCCAAACAGTTCTGCAAACTTCAGAGCGTCTGCCCAAGCTGAGGGGCTGACAGGTACTGATAACCTTGAAAACTTTTGCATCGTTCTTGCCAATGCTTTCCTCCTGTTCAACAAAACAAGGTCCCCTCCTCCCTGCCCCCCGTTTAGCAAAACTTCTCAAAGGACAAAAACAGCAAGTTATCAAAACAGCCAGGTCCCAACTGTGAGTTCATCTTTTAAAAATTCTCTTTAATATGGAAACTTAATATGCAAAAAACACATCCACACACCTTGAGAGCACCCCTTCCCCAGACTGCAGGTGACTGCTGGTGGCCAGTAGGAGGCTCCACAGAGAAGTTCTTCCAAAGCCAACAAGCCAACAAGCCAACAAGCAGTAAGAACACAGGAGCTCCACTGCCTCTTGGTCTGGTCCTGCTTTTTAATTACAGTGGGATTGGAAGAGGACCTAATTATTTTCAAGTAAGGCCAAGAGAACGGTTATTAACCAGTATCCCAACCCTTTGCAAATGCAGAGGTTGAAATGATACATATATAATTATATAATTATATATAATATATATAATTTTTAAAAATGCCTTTTCTCACTGTTTTTCTGCAAACAAGAAAAATTCATGATCCTTTTAGTTAAGCATAAACATCTCAAGCCTTCCTTTGATGTAATTAAACTTTCCAAATAAATTTAGCATCCTGACTATGACACTCAGAACAATGGGAAATTGAGGACATGCTTTTAAAAACTGAAATACCTTCTTCTGCTTTCTTCTCGGATCTGATGTCCGTAAGCCTTTCACGCTGAGACTATCACCTGGCAACCTGTGATTTAAAGCCAGTTATGATTTTTCGAAGTCAGTGTTTTTCCAAGACTATTTAATTCATTGCCAGTATGAAAATAAATCGAGAAGAGAGAGTAACTCTGATTTCCTTTAAAAATTGGACAGATCTGGCCACAAATCTAAGTGTTTCTTCGTAGAAATGAATTATCTTGCAGTTCAACATTCGAAGAGTTTAATATACATCCCAGGTAGCTGCCTAACCCCAGTGAGTATTCTGTGATTTTTAAATTCTAAGTTGATCCACTGAAGCTTCAAAAGATGGTCTTTCTTTCCACGGTTCAGCTGAAATCCACCAAACTGGTGGTAGGGTTTGTTAGGGTTGAGACTGAGGACGTTCCCTAGATGTGGGATTTTGGGTGCTAAGATACAGAACTGTCCCAGGGAAACCAGTATGAGTTGGTCATGTTAGCTGATAGAGCTGGGAAGGAAGGGGTTTGGGGTCCTTTAAAAAGCAGCTCAGAGTTTACACTGTCCCTGGGCTGGGTGTTCAACTGTGCAGGTGGAATCCTGCCTCCTTCTGGATCAGGCCCTTGACCGTCTGCTTGGTCAAGGGGGCCTCTCTTTCCCCCTCACCTCCCTGTATCCCAGGAGAGGGAACCCAGGACCTCTTCCTCCCCTTTGATATAAAGTCTCAGAGATTTCTCTCTGCCAACTGCCCAGAGGCCAGCCCTGGGGGAGATCCCTGCCCCCAACAGCCTTGGGGGAGATCCCTGCCCCCTGCTTACCTGCCATGTCACCTTCCCCTACATGGTAAACAATCCCGGGACTAAAGTGCATCCTTTGGGGAGGAAACAGCAGCTCTCTACTCTGAGTTAGAAGGCAAGCGTTTCAGCCCTGGCTGTGTGAAATGGGACCATTCCCTTTCTCTGAGCCTCAGTTTCCTCCTCTGTAGGATGTGGCTGTGAGTGAGGAGTGGGGGAGGTGAGACCCACCTCACAGCCTTGTTGTGACGGTGAATAGAATTATGATGGTAAAAGCCCTTTGAAAACTGCAGCTCTGTACAAAAGTTAATTATTATTAGACAACAAAGGCAGGGCGATACTTCCAAGAAGGGTAGAGGTGACACTCCTCTAAAAATTTTGTTGTAGATGTTGGTTCCTTTAATCCTTTCCCAGCAGCACCGTGAGTTCTTCAAACAGCTGTGTGACTGCTGGGTGATGGACAGGTGAGCCGTTGAGCAGGAAAGGGCCAGTGAGCCTGCGCTTGTGCGTTGGGTGCAGGGTGGGTGTGGGAGCTTCTGTGGGACGGGGGTGTCTGTGAGGGGAGCGATGAATAGTCCCTGGCCCAGAAAGAGGGAAGCAGAACCAATGGCAGAGGGGGAGGGCCAGCGCCAGGGCAGAGCTTCGGACCACCCCCCCCCACCCCCCCGACTTCACCATCTGCCGAAGGCAGAAGCGCTCAGGGCAGCACCCTCTGCCCCGACAGACCTGTCCAATTGTGCCCCAGCCACACGGGATTTCTACCAAGTCCCACACCTCAGGAAATGGCCGACAGCCTGCCAGGAGGCCTCCTGGCGGCTGTGTCGGAGAATCAATCATTAATTACCCCACGCTCCTCCCCCCACCCCCAGGCTTTCAAAACACAGAAATAGAAATACAGGTCCTGGCAGGTGAAAGGAAAGTGGAAAGCAGTTTGGAAAAAGCCACCCGTGGCATCTGTCCAGTTGCTTTTGGGGTTGGAGATGTGTCCTGGGCACGGGTCTCTGGAGACCTTTGCCCACCCCAAAGCCCCTGGTGGCTGCCACCTGGGCTGCTGTGGGGGACGTGGTATTTTCGGGGTGGAGTAAGAAAGAACCCCACTGGGGAAGCAGAGAGTAAGGTAGCAGAAGGAGAGGAAAGGAGCAATGTATGGAGGGGATAACACGGGTCAATTGTTTTTTCTTTTTTAATAGTTTTTTAAAAGCTACAAATAATGACCTAGGCCCCTTGGCAACCCATTTTGCAGATGAGAAGACTGAGCCCCAGGAAAAGTGAGTACCAGATCTGAGGTTACCCACCCGGTAGGTGGCTGACTCGATGTCCAAATAAACACTAGAGACCCAGACTGGCCTTAATGTTGGAAATTCTGCTCACCCCAGCCTAGTTCCCTCACTCCCCAGCATCTACCCCACATCCCGTCAGGAAGGAAGGTTCTGGATCCCAGGGAGTGGCCAGGGTGAGGTCGGACTCCCATGGCCAGAAAACTTTCCTGCCCCAAGAGAAAAGAGCAGCTCACCAGGCAGGAATGGCC